CGGGGCCCGTTGGAATAGGTTCCAGGCCCTCTCGAGGCTATCCTTTATTTTCTATCTGTTTATCTCCGCAACATTCTCCGCTATAAATCCTTCTATCTAATATTTCCTGCTGCTCGCACTCAAGAAAACTCTGGGAAGCTGTGGGGGTGGTGGGTAAACGCCCCACACCCAAGAAGGGCTCCCACAGGACATACAGAACATCCCACAGCAAGTGAGTTTTGGGGTCCCATCTCTCCTTCTCATCTCCCTATTGTCATGGTAGGGGACAGCCTTTCCTACCTCACCAGACCCCACCACTTAATTGTATTTTCAGGGGTATCCCTCTTACCCACACATTTTTAGTTGTGCCAACTTGCCCTGTGCCCCTAATGGGAAGAGGTTTTCTAGCTAAGGTAGGAGCTTTCATTTCATTTGCTCCCCATTTGCCTTACTCCAGACTCATCAGCAGCTCCTCTCCTCCTCCTCCTCCTCCTCCTTCTCCTCCTCCTCCTCCTAGTGACCCAGCCTACTAGCTCTGACATTGCCTTTCCCTTGCCAGCCTCTCAGGACCTATTGTTACAGGACCACCATAGACCCGGAGGCCAAGGACATCAAGTATACCTAGGCAGTAAAGAATAGTAACAGTCCAGAAGTATTTACACCCCCAGACTCAAAGGGTCTGTGTAGCTTGAGTTTTCCTGCCTTGCCCACAGTCAGGACAAATCTTTGTCACCCGCCAGTCCCACAGCTGCTCAGACCCAACCAAGTAAACACAGAGATTTATTTTGCTTACAAACTGTATGGCCGTGGCAGGCTTCTTGCTAACTGTTCTTATATCTGAAATTAATCCATTTCCATAAATCTATACCTTGCCACGTGACTCGTGGCTTACCGGCATCTTCACATGCTGCTTGTCCTGGCGGCGGCTGGCAGTGTCTCCTTCTGCCTTCCTGTTCTTTCTTTTCTCCTCTCTGTTAGTCCCGCCTATACTTCCTGCCTAGCCACTGGCCAATCAGTGTTTTATTTATTCACCAATCAAAGCAATTTGACATACAGACCATCCCACAGCAGGTCTGGACTCTGTAAAAAGCAGACTTTAATATAACAATCTATTACTGTTAAATGCCCTCAGCAATTGATCACCTGCATCTTCTGGGTGTTAAACTGCTAAAGAAAACAGGTGTCTTGAGGTTTGTCTTAGATAAGGCTTATCTCAGGTGAAAATTAAAAGCATGTTCCAGGTCTCTCTCTCTCTCTCTCTCTCTCTCTCTCTCTCTCTCTCTCTCTCTCTCTCTCTCACACACACACACACACACACCAATAAAATTCTGGTACTAAACATTATAACATCATGGCTACCAGCTCAAGATTTTAAATTCCCTGCGGCTGCTTCTTAATATGTTTAAAAATTCTCTTGAACTCTGGAGCCTGCTTGAATCTACCTGGACAGGTCAGATCCACTTCAGATAAGTATAATTCAAACTTTCCTGGTCCTGGGACACCCCCCCCAACCCTGGGCCCCTTGGAAATCCCCCCAAGGTAAAATTTTTTCTAAACTTCCTCTTCTGCCTCACCAGCACCTTGTCAGACCCAATCAGTCAGATCCAAGCGGTGACAGATGATTCCACAGAGCCCAGAGCAGCAGAAGGCAATGGATGATTCCCAAAGCAGACAATCCACTACCCCAGGATGTCTGGCTACCTCAAAAGACCCCTTCCCTATCCTCAAGAGTTAACCGATGCCCACTGAGTCAACTGGAAGCAGTTTTGGGAGACACAGCACCCCCATTTCTGTTCACCCATCATTTTCTATAAGAACAAAGAGTCTGGAATGTTAGAATTCCTCGCTATTCTCCCATGACCATGCACGCACTGGCAAGATACTTAGTCATCTCAGGGCCTTACATCCTACGTAACCCATGAGCCGCCTGGTCACGTAATCTATGCACATGCATGGCATAGCTATGTAAACCCACATGCACATGTGCAGGGTAATCTATAAAAATAGGTTTCACTTATTCCTCCGCCTTCTCTTCCTGCACTATCTTTCCATAGGCCTAAGCACCCCTTCTATTTCCTCCCCTTAATGAACTTTTTTTTCTTCCAAGACAGGGTTTCTCTGTATAGTTTTGGTTCCTGTCCTGGATCTCACTCTCTAGACCAGGCTGGTCTCAAACTCAGAGATCCCCATGGCTCTGCCTTCTGAGTGCTGGGATTAAAGGCGTGCGCCACCACCACTTGGCTTAATAACCTCTTATAGTGGGTTTTGTTGTACCTCGTGGCTTTTCTCAAATGGTAAATAGTGATGCTTAATGAATAACATATATGACTGTGTATCTCCTGGAACTGGAGTTACAGACAGCTGTGAGCTGCCATTTGGTTGCAGGGAATTGAATGCAGCCTTGGAAGAGCAGCCAGTCCTTAACTGCTAAGCCATCTCTCCAACCCCTCTGGGTCACCTAACCTTTAAATTGCCTACCCCCTAGCCATGGCCAACTTTGGGCAATAAAAGGAAATTTTTTAACACTCCCTTCTATTCCAGCTTGTAAGTGAAGGGCTCTGACTTATTTTATCTCATGTATATGAGGTACCTGCATGTCTGTGTGCACCCGGTGGGTGCCTTGTGTCCTGGGAGGTCAGAAAAGGATGTCAGATCTCCTGGAAGAGGGTGTTTGACTCTCTTGGAACTGTAGTTACAGTTGGTTATGAGCCACCATGTGGGTGCTGGGAATCGAACCCGGGTCCTCTGGAAGAGCAGCTTGTGCTCTTAACGGCTGAGCTGTTTCTCGGGCCCCCAAGCGCTAATCCTTACAGAGTTCCTCTCTGCAGGTTTTCCTCCGAATAAGTCACTTGTTCCCTGTCTGTCTTATCTCCTCATTGCTCTTTTGAGCTGCAGAAGCATGTCTCTCCTGTGTGGGCCTGGGATCCGGATGGTCTAGGACAAGACTCAGGCCTGTGAGCACCAGACAAGCACCTCCTGACTGACTCACCTCCTGGAACTGGAGAGAAGGCCGCAGTGTAAAGAGTTGGTGTGGAGCAATGACTGCTCTAGACCGGTCAGCTCCGGTTCCTGAGTGAGCCGGCTTCAGAAACGTTCTCACTCTGCTTCCTTCCTCCTCCATGGCCTGCCCAGTTCCCTCACTGAGTCTGAGGAGGGAACAGTAAGGCTCCTCTTGTCTGGGGCCATTTTCCTGGTCTCTATAGATCGCTCCATTAACTCACCTAGTGGAGTCCAGAGCTCCCCAGCTCCAGGTGAGCAGCTCAGAACCGTAGCATTACCAGGAGCGGTGGATGGAAAACAGGGTGTCAAGCCCTGGAGCCTCTTTTCCAAGGGCAGAAATCCATTCCCAGCACTAAGCCCTCCCTCGGCTGCTGATCCTGTTACTTGGGGGTAGGGGGAGGTAGGAGTGAAACATGGCTTTGTACATACTAAACCCCTGAGCTATGGGGCTAGCCCCAACTATCCTTCTCGTTGTCCTTTTCCTTCCTCCCTTCCCCCCTCCCTCCCGTCCTCCCTCTCTTCCTTCCCCTCCTTCCTTTCTAATCTACAGTAAGGGCATCAAACCCTAAGCCTCATCCATGCACGCATGCCGGGCAGGAGCTCAGCCCGCAGGCCTTAAGCACTTCACAAAGGACCCTAACTCTTCAGTCCATCACAGTGTGGGTTCAGTTTTGACGTGGGTTTTGGAGGGACACAACTGGGCCATAACAATGTCTGCACGGAGGTTAAGTCTTGCCTTCTGCCAGCCCTCTTCCCGCCCCATTCCACAGAGAAACTCTGCTGCGTCTGAACGTTTGCCCGAAGCTTTCATTTAACAGAGTCTAGCCATACCTTTGGCTTTTAGTATTAAACCGAGGGACTTGGCTGGGTTGAATAGTATCTCTCTCAAAATTCATGTCTTTAGAAATCTAGAATATGGCCTTGTTTAGAAATAGGATCTTTGAAATTGGCTCAGATGAGGTCATGGTGGATGGGGTGAGGACTCCAAGACCAGTGTAACTTCATAAGACAGAGGAGGAAAAGTCAGACGTGTAGACACACACAGAAAGAAGGCCGTGTGACTGAGGTGGCGATTGGAGGGATGGATCTATAGTCCCAAGCATTGCCAAACTGCCAGGAGCAGAGGAGGCAAGTGAAGATTCTCCATAGAGCCTCAGAGGGCCAGCATGCCTGGCCAGCTACTCAACTTCAGCGTTCTAGCCTCTAGAATGGTGACATAATATTTCCATTGTCTGAAGTCCCCAGTTTGGAGTGGTTGTTCTGACAGCCCTAAGAAACTAATCCTGGGACTCCTGGCTGGCAATACAACAAAACAAACACTAGCTTCCTCGGTGGTGTGACGGCTCATGGTAGAGTACTTGCCTAGCATGCACGAAGCCCTAAATTTGATTCCCAGCACCACATAATCTGGGTGTGGTGGCTCACACTTATAGTTCCAGCACTCAAGAATATGGAAAATATGGGCAGGAGGATCCTGCCCCAACCTGCATGGCTTAGGGATTGACCTAACTGGGGCACCAGGAAATGAAGAAAGGATAAACACACATACAGAAAAGCTGGAATTGAGCGGACCGTGGACTCCGACGGAGACTCATTCACAGGGGCCCAGAAACTCAGTACATTTATTTTATACATCTGAATTGAGGAGGCAGGTTTGTTGTGCACAGCTGGATGAAGAGGCATGTTTAGCTAATCTTGGTAGCAGGGTGGTCTTTGTAGGGGAGCAGTTTCAGGGACTGAACATCCTGGAGGAAGACAGGGCCACCCACATTTTCTACATATACTGCAAACATCCACATATGAACCGGGGGGAGGCTTTGACATTCTGAGACACTGAGGTTCTTGACATGGCCATGCTAATGTCAACAATACACATCCACTCGGGACTTCATCCACTCCCCTTAGGACCTGAAGTTGACAGTATTTCTCAGCTGCCTAGAAAGTTTGAGACTCACCTAGGTTATATGAAGCCCTGTCTCAACCCCCCATACACAACAAAACAAAACAATTATCTGAACAACTTCCTTCATCCGGAACACTTCCATGGCGTTTGCCTTTGTTTTATTCATATACCTTTTTTCTTACTACATTGCCTGGGCTAGTCTCAAGTTTCTGGACTTGAGTGATGGCCTCAGCCTCTTGATGTCTAGGACTACAAACATACACCATGCCTGGTAGCCTGTTATTTTTATTTATTTTATTTTTGTTTGTAATAGAGAAACATTCTTTTCAATAATTACCAACTCATTAAATTTTAATTTTATTATGTGTGTGTCTACACATGCACTGAGGTGTGTACATTTGTGCCAGAGTCTGCATTTGGAGGTCAAAGGGCAACTTTCAAGAGTCAGCTCTCTCCTTTCAGTTCAGGTGTTAGGATGTCAGTGCCTTTGCCCGCTGAGCCAGCTCACTGTCCCTGTTTTCATTTTTATTGGACTTGACAAGTACTAGGCATGGTGACTCCTGCCTATAACATTAGCACTTGGGAGGCTGAGGCTGGAGGATCCCATCTCCAAAATCCACAGGGTCAAGCACAGCATCAGTGGATTCGAGCTCATGATGGCAGGAAGAGGAAATATTTGTGTAACAATAACCCCAGCCACGACATGAAGGGTGAGATGTCCTTATCAGGTTACAGGGAAATTTATGTGTATGTAACTGAAGTAGCATGACAATAATGAACAGTTATTGGAAGCATCTTATACAGCAAATACCACTCTAAGTATTTACGGCCTAACAGCATAGACACAATCCAAAAATATAGATAGGGACTTCAAGCCACCACCATTTTGCTTGCAGTTCTGGGAATCAGGGGCAGGCCCATTGGATGGGCTTTCCTGTGTACCAGTTGGCAAGGTTCACAGCTGCACTCAGCTGATGGCTGCCTTGGCCTGGGCTCAAGAGGCAGCAAGCACGGTACTTGCCTTCCAAGAGGCCAGCTTGGGCTTCCTCGCAGCATGGGACTTCTTACATGATAGTGGCCTTCCAAGGGGGTGGATATTAAAAACTTAACTTTAGTTACCACACAGCATAACTCTACCACACGCTACTGGTCTGTACAAGCTTCCTCTTATAGGTGTGAGGGATTACTAGAACCGCAACAGTTTAGCTGAACACAAATATGTCACCTTATCGTTCCGGAGGTCACAATTCTAAAATGGTCCCTGAGGACTAAACTCAGGCTTAGGCAAGGCTGCTTTTCTTTGCAGAGGTTCAGGGGTGGACATTCTAGTTGCGCTTTCTTTGTTTATTGAATGTTTTGAGACAGGGTCTCACACAGTTCAATCTGACATAGCCTGCTCTGACCTCCAGCTCCTTCTCCTCCCTTCTCCACCTTCCCAGTGCTGGGATAGTGGGCATGGAACACTGTCCCGGGTGGTGTGGTTCTGAAGACGGAACCCAGGTCTTCACGAATGCCAGGCAAGCGCTCTATCAACTGAGCTACATCCTCAGCCCAGCCTTTTCTCCTCTCTGTCAACAGTGGCTTACATTACTTGGTCCCTGTGCTCCTTTTGCCTTTAAAGCTACCATGGCTGGTCAAGTCCTTGTCTGGCTGTCTCTCCTGTCTCCCTCCCTCATCTCTAAGGACCCTTGTGGCCTCACCTCAAGGACAGCAGATTAGGAAACAAGCTATCTGCAGCCTAGGTTCTGCTCTACCGTGTAATATACTATCTGCCTATAGATTCTAGGGGTTAGAGCTGCATATCCTGGAGAAGGGATGGTCTTCTATGGAGCACAGGGTCAAAATCGGTGAGCAGGCGAGTCCAGGCTCCTGGGAAAGGAAAACAGAGTCCACTAGCTGGTGGCAGGAGCAGAGCTCTGAGGCTCTCAGTGGTCCACCAGGGCATACATCAAGTCATGTTCCCCACAATCTCAGGAGGCAGTGCTCACATTATCCATGTTCCAAAGTAGGAAGCAAGTGGGCAGATGGCACATGAGATCACAGCAGATGCCACTCTGCCCGGCCCAAGCCCTCCTTTCACTTTTTATTTTGAAACAGCATCTCACTAATTTGCTGAGGTTGGCCTTGAACTCACTTGGTAACTCGGGCTTGCCTTGAGCTTGTGATCCTCCCAAGTGTAGTTGTTTTTTGTTGTTGTTGTTTTCTCTTTACTCTTTGGGGGCCTACCACCCTGCTCCCAAATAATCACATAGAGACTCTTATTCTTTCTTATGAATGCCTAGTCTTAGCTTGGCTTGTTTCTAGCCAGCTTTTCTTAACTTAAATTATCCCGTCTATCTTTTGCCTCTGTGCTTTTATCTTTCTATATACCTTTCTTTACTTCTTACTCCATTGCTGGCTGTGTGGCTGGGTGGCTGGCCTCTGGAGTCCTCCTCCTTCTCTAGCTCTTCCTTTTCAATTCCCCATCTCTTCTTTTCTCTCTCCTCCCAGATTTCTCCTTCTATATATTCTCTCTGCCTGCCAGCCCCGTCGATCCTTTCTCCTGCCTTGCTATTGGCCATTCAGCTCTTTATTAGACCATCAGGTGTTTTAGACAGGCACAGTAACACAGCTTCACAGAGTTAAACAAATGCAACATAAAAGAATGTGACATATCTCTGCATCATTAAATGAATGTTCCACAGCATCAACCAATGTAGCACATCTTCAACTAATATTCCCCAACACCCAAGTACTAGGACGATATAAGCCTTTGTCACCAAACTTAGCTCTCAAACCCATCTCTAGTTGCTAGTCCTTATTCTTAGGAGCTGTGCACAAGAAGTGGAAGGCTATTTAAAGTCACATTCAAATTTAGAAGGACTGTGAATAAAACCAGGGGTTTTGCTTTGCTTTGTCTTTGTGGTGGTCCTGGAGGTTCAACCCAAGATCTTGATAGATATGCTTGCTACCACCGAGTGACACCTCAGCCCTCAAATAGAACGCACTTAAGTCACCTGGCCTTTTATTCAGTAACTGTGGAGAACACTGTTCCCAGCTGGAGGGTAATCATAGATGCAACACGTTAACTCAGAAAGAGTCACCTCTTTTGGCTATGTTCTGATCTCTCTTTCCAGAACCTGGGGAAGAGCCTGGTGCAAAGACTTGCAGAAAGAAGGGAACACGGGCCTTTTTACAAAGTGATGCTTTTGGATAAACTCACTGAGCCAGCACACGCATCCTGTTGAGCCAGGCTCTGTGCAGAGCACATAGGACAAAAATAACAAGGTGAGCCCTGCCCTTCAGAAGTCGGTGTGTATGAGTTGAGTGTGGCGACACACACTGCATTCCCAGCTACTGCGGGGTCCCGAGGATCACTAGGCAACAACAACTCGGTTTACAGCTGTCTACATTTTTATACCCAGGCATGCAGAACATGAAGATGTTGACCACAGTTTTTGCCTGTCAGCAAGGTAAGGTTTTCTCCTCCAAAATTAATACTCAGAACAGAAGGGGTTACCTCATATTTATCTTGTGACACCAATGCTTTCAATGGTGTCACTCACATGTGACAAGAACATGTCCATCCCCTCTCCCCACTCACTCTCCTGCAGAAGTGGAGATGGATGGAGCCTTGGGTCTCCTCTATGTGAGGCAAATACCACGCCACTGAGCTACGTGAGTCTCATTTTCAGCATGAACACACGGGCAGCAGGCATGCTGTTCTTGGACTTGCGGAATAAAAACCAAGGCTAGACATGGAGGCGTGTGCCTTTAATCCTAGGAATCAGGAGGCAGAGGCTAGAGGATCTCTGTGAGCTCAAGACCATCCTGGTCCATGAAACAAGGCTAGCTTGGTCTATGCAGCGAGACCTTGTCTAAAACAACAATAAACAAAGGCATGAAATAGCATGTGCATCCTACTCACTCAGAATGCTGAAAGGGATTATTTGAGTTCAGGAGTTCAAAGCTTGCCTGGCAACATAGAGAGACTGAAAACAAACAGACAAACAAGGAGAAAGAAAGACAATTTTAAAAAAGAAGCAACCGGCACAGCTCTTCCAGGCTTGGTGGCATACACTGATAATCCCAGCACTCAGAAGGCTGAGGAAGGGAGATCAGGAGTTCAAGGTCAGCCTTGGCTACATAGCAAGATCAAGGTCGGCCTGAGCTGTCCCGAGCTACCTGAGACCCTGTCCTGGAAAACCAGACTAAATAAACAAACAAAGAAAGCAAAATTCTGCTTTTCTGAACTCAACAGTTACCTTTAAGCAATTCAGTCTAAACGTGACGAGGAAAGATACCAAGAGACGTATGTGCCACCCTGGGCATTTCCTGTCCCCTATGGCCATGTGAGGGGACACAGACACATACCTGGAAGCTCTGACAGGAGTTGCCTGAATACTGAGGTTTTAAAGGGGGATCTGGTCCCCCTTGTCCTGACAGCTAGTTCAGGGCTGGGTTTGTGGGTGGAGCCTGTGATTCAAGCAGGATGATGGGGTCTCTCCTCCAGAGGGGTGCAGAGCACACAGTGATTCATGCAGGATGATGGGGTCTCTCCTCCAGAGGGGTGCAGAGCAGACA